CTAAAGGAATTTCTTGGTTATAGTAACAAAAGCTAAAGCAAAAGAACATAGAATGACATTAAGAAAATAACAAACTTCAGCTCAACTTCCTTACATGCTACAACAGATAGTATATAAGTAATTACCTAGAAGCTTGAAACCTCCACAAAATCGCCTCGTGTTTTGATAGGTAAATCATGACAGGAGCGATCATTTAAGACTGAATCATGGAGAGCGTGCGATAGAGCAATCCTTGGAAACTGAATCGGCATGGGAAGAGGAGAGCGTGCGATGTTGGTTGTTAGGCATAGTTGCCTTGGGAAGAGGAGAGCGTGCGATGTGTTTGGAGTGGTTTAGGGTCTAGAGGCGGATGAAGGTGTTTATGCATTAAAGGGTAGTAACTTAAATTGAAAATGCATAAAAAAATTGTACATTTTTAAGATTTTAAGACTTTCTGCATTAAAGGGTAATACTTTATGCATGCTAAGATGTTTTTAAGACTTTGGGCAAATTTGCTTTATAAAGTAATATAGATACATCAATATATAATACTTCATATATAAAAAATGATTTTTAAATTTTTTTATTAAATATTTTATGATATAATATAGATATTTATTTATTGCCCTTTTTGCACTTTCCCTTTTCCCTTTTCCCATTCCCATTCCCATTCCAATTTAATTCCCGATTCCATTCCCTTACCCTTTCCCTTTCTCAGTAGGCGGTGCATGGATTTTTGCCTTCAAAACTATATTTCCGTTTTCTTGCCTTGTTCATCATTACAATCACAAACCCACTTTTTCGAATCCTAGTAAGAATTGAAGCTTCATTTGGATCAATGGCAGTGCTACTACTGACGTCTTCTGTGTTGTTAGCAATACTATTCACTTTCAGTGCCGCTGCTCCTCCACAACCTCTCATCTCCCGGATCGCATTTGGTTCTTGCGCTAATCAAACCTCTCCCCAGGTTTCTTCTCTATTCACAAAATCACTCACTCTTTTTTACTTCAACCTCAAACCACACATAACTTACTTCATCTCAAACCAATTAGTTTTCAATGTGTGAACCGACACAAACTTTAATTGAGTTGCTATATATAGGGCTTCTGTTTCAATTCTAATTCAAATTTAAATCGCTTGATTTGCAGCCTATATGGGATGCTATAGTAAATTTCAAACCCCAGGTTTTCATTTGGCTTGGGGATAATATATACGGAGACATCAGGCGGCCTTTTAAATTCTTTGGTAATGAGAGAACTATTGGGCCATGGAAGAATGTTCCTAGGTTTGTACCTTCATCAGAGGATGAAATGCGATCCAAATACAACATTGCTAAGACCAATCATGGTTATTCCCGTCTTCGTAAGATTTCCAAGGTGCTTTACCTACCTCAAAAAGTCTGCTCTGGTGTTCTTTAACATTACTTCTGCACACTCATAGTGCGAGTACGTTCTAGGTGATTGGCACTTGGGATGACCATGATTATGGATTAAATGACGCTGGAAAAGAATTTAAACAGAAAGATACCAACCAAAGGCTTATGTTGGATTTCTTGGATGAACCCCAGGACAGTCCACGGTAATCTTTACTTCAAACTTCACATCTCATTGTGATACTGCTCAAACTAGTATGGTTTTGCCTCAGTCCGTGTTATTGTTGATGTTGTGACAAGCTCTGATGACAGGTTAACCATACATGTATTGATAAGTCCCAGTCTGTTTTTGAATGTTACCAATGACAATGTCTTTTTCAGACGCAAGCAGGCTGGTGTTTATGCATCTTACACTTTTGGTCCGGAGGGTAGAGAAATCAAGGTATTATTTGTTATAATTGTTGACTTCCTTTTCCTTTTTTTGATCAATACAGAGGCATATCATCTCTTGTGTAGACACGTCCCACTTATTTCGAGTTTCTTGCCTTCCTAACGTTAGACAACCTTGCTTTAGGTTATTCTTTTGGATACTAGATACCACAGAGACCCCCTGCGCAGTGATGGAACCATTTTGGGAACTGCACAATGGACTTGGTTAGAAAAGGAGTTGAATGAGGGACCATCAGCAATAACCATAATTGGTTCATCCATTCAGGTATATATGGATCTACTTTCTTATCCCATAATGATGTAGGAATTGTCATGATTGTATTTGGGAGTGGAGTATACACATTTTGGACTATAGACGCTTGTTAAGTAATCATACTACTAGTACTGGAGTGGTTGTTAAACCTGAACAAAAGGTATTTTTGTCTGCAAAATGCGTTGAAGGAAGTGGGTTGTACATACATTCTATACCATAAGTTCTTACATCACTAAATCTTTCTTGAAATTATTCCAAATATGGAATGGCATGTGCAAGACATGCATATTGGTTCTCCCAAATAAATGAAAATTCCAATAATAGATTCATGTACTGAATTGTCCTGTTGCATGATAACAAATTAACAGTAAGGATTTATATGTTGCATTGCAGGTTTGTTAGGTTGAGGTTTAGGATTCACAATATGAGCATAATATTTCAATTAAATATTATCACTGTTGGGCCCATAAAAAGGATCTTGATTGTAAACTGTCATTCTGTTTTTCCTATGTCTGAATGGCTTTATATGTCAGACTCAGGATTTGTTTATTCCAGTAATCTCATTTGATAGCTAGGAATTTCTCCTGCATGTTCTAATGGTAATGGTTTAACTATAACTGCTTAGTAAAGTGATATACCAAACAAAATAATGTTAACTTTGTTACTATGGGGTTGTTCGGTTCGTTTTCTGTTAAGACATGTATGGATATAGTTGTTTGTATTGATATAGTTGTCTGTATTGATATAGTTGTCTGTGACCGTATATTAATAGATAAGTTGTTGTTCGGTTGTTGTGCTGAATAAACAGTCTGAATGTCAGAAATGACCATTTTACCCCCAGCTCTATTTTTGTCTAAAAAATATCAGTTTGATGAAAATGTTGAATAAATGACTTATAATTATAAAAAAATATCAATTTAAAAGTTTTTTAAATAATAATTACTTGATTAACATAATTATATGAGTTAAATGTTATAATCAAAACAACATTAATAAGTCCTTATAATAAAAACAAGTCAACATCATAGTTTGGATACAATTTAAAATATCAAACATTTTGGTAGCATCGACCACCTCCTCTTCCTCTATATGCTGTAAAAACTCAATGCTTTCAACCTTCCTCACAACTTTGACTTAACACAGAGTTAATAACAAATTGTTCAAACATTGCATTTCCAGGAAGTACACCACAGGCCCAACCATCTCCCTCCCCCACACCAGAAAAACCAATGACCTTCAACTTTTCGCCCTTTGGGATGGCCTCGTTGGAATTTTGCTTACAGAGGAAATAATCACTTCGGATATGTTACACTCCAAAATAGTTTTAATCTCTACAGAAAAATAGATTGCTTTATAACTATGACAAACTTATTTGAATGTAATCTTGAAATGCAAACACTTCTCATCTAATACCTTATTGGACTCAAGATTGCTTTATGAGACACAACAATGTGATGTTGACTCCGGGATATGAGGTTAAGGGACAACTCAAAAGGATCAAGAGAATTATTGTCAGAAGCTCAGCTGTAAGAAACACATTTTGCAGTTCTGATATGTCTACATGTCACAACAGCCATTGTAACTGCCTCCACCGCTAGCATACGAGTACCCATTTTATTGCCACAACACCATTGTTTACACCGGTTACAAGTCCTAACTATCGAAACAGTCTCTTCTCCCTCCTTTATAAAAATTGAAGCTACTTTTCCCAACAGTAGATGTCAAAACGATATGTTAGCTGATTAACCATGAGAAGCATTCTCGCAACTATGGATCTAAGTAAGCAGCAAAAATCATTACCAGGTGAAAAATTCAATAAGATCCAAAAACAGAGTCAAGTTGTTCTATGGAAATGCCAAATCATTTATCCAACTGAGTTATCAAAACAAACAAATACATGTCTAAAACAACAAAATTAAATCTAATTATGAACCTTCTGGAGCTGATTGCAGCTAACATCATCCCGATGCTTAGACCAAAATCCACTCGATGAAACTGATCCATTTGACGACAACGAGTAAGAGGTCGTCGTATCGCCGCCACTGAATTGACAATCATGCACTAATTCTGGCATCGTTTTCCTTAACCTCTCGCACATTCCTTCATCAAATTCTCCATTTAACAAATCCAGCCTCCGATTAAAAAAAGAATTTCTTCACAGACTTCTTATAGAATTAACAATCTGATCCAAAAAAATTGAAAGAAGAAACGAAATAACAATTTCATTAGATCGTTTAATTGATGTAGGATTTCAATTAGAGATTATTGATGTTTACCTGAAGAAATGATTTGTTGGAAGGATCTCTAAGAATTTATAGAGCGAGAAAGAGGCTGATTACATAAGGTGGGGGTAGTTGGGGAAAAAATAATGGCTGATTACATAAGAGTGTGGTTACATAGCTGTGCGAATCAGCCACTAAATCAGTGATTAAGCCCTTACCGAACGCAAAGATATGGCTGTGCGAATCAGCCATATCTGTTATATGGCTCAAACAGCCCTTACCAAACAGCCCCTAAGACTGGACAATAGGCCTGCAGTCCTAGACTTTAAGGTACCAACACTCAACTGATCTGTTTGACTTCAAGGGACTTCTAACCAATTGGGAATCCCATGATGATGAAGTGATCTTAGTACATCTTGATTAATGAAATGAGACATACTTCTAACAGACCTTAAGCCTTAGGTAAGGCATGATGTACTTGGAACCTGAAGTGTTTCTCTGCGAATATACCATCCTGAAATTGTTCCCTTATATTAAATTGAAAACTTGAATGGCATTTATGTCCTTCCAGAATTGCCATCTGTTTTATAGTTGTGTTCCACTAAATTTCAAGGGAGAGATTGATTCTCTTTTGGTTCTTCATTTTCTGTTAATGTTCTTGTTTTATTCTGTTTTCCTCATCATATATCTACTTTATCTCAATGCAGAGAGTATCATTTGCTGTATGTGTATTTTTTGGAAAATGGTAGGAGTTATTTAATTGCTTCATCATGACAATAGCTTTTCTACAAATGCTATTTCTTGGTAACTTGCCAAAAAATATTATTCCTTCCTCGGTAGTAGTTGAACCACGGAGGTGATTTCCCAGATACTTGTGGCAGTATTTGTTGCTTGAATACTTCAGTAAGGGACAACTTTGTCATTGTTCCCCTCCTCGAACATTCAAGCTATGATGATGTATTTCATGAGTTTATGGGCACTGATTTTATCATTGATTTGGAGCAAATTATGAATAAGGGTGTTATTCCATATTACTATATTTCTATTAGAGTAGTTGTGCTTGAGCCACTTGTACTATTTTAATATTTCGTATAATACTCTTGTATTGCTTTGAAAAGTTAGAATACAGAACCTTTTTCATATTTTCTCTGGTTTGTAACAATTGGTAATGAAGTCGATGGGGATCATAATTACTATATTGACATGCCTTCGAAGACTCTACTTTTCTGGTTTAAGCAATCTTCTAGAGAGGTTTATTGACCCCTTAATTACTACTTATTTGAATTCTTGTTTTGTAAGTTGTTGCCTTTTGTTGCCTCACTCAGGTTCTGTCAAACCTTTCAGCCTGTACGGGTCCTTTATTCTACATGGAGAGTTGGGGACGTTTTCCAAGCGAAAGAAAACGTCTGTTTAGCTTGATATCAGATAGCAAGGTAACAATCTCTGCATGTTAGTAAATTACTTCTTCCATTGGAGCGATAAGCATTATTTCTTTCTAGAACCACTTATTAATGAAATATAAACCAAGTCCTTATATGATCTTTCCATGCCTAGAGAGATGGGGTTTTCTTCATAAGTGGAGATGTGCATTTTGGAGAAATAACACGATTCGATTGTGCCACTGGGTATCCCCTGTATGACATTACCTCAAGTGGTCTTACCCAAGCTGTTGAGAAGGTAATCCCTTCTTTTTTGCATTTCGTGCTGCAATTCTTGGCATGGCTGACACCTACTACTATGAGAGTTATGAACAAGAACTGCAAACACAAATCATGCACATATGGTATGATTTCCTTTGTCTTTTCCTATTTCCTATTTTTTTTGTCCTGTCTAAAATATAACGAGGCATTGTTCTAACTCGATTTGTATGTCATGCAGGACAGCCTAATTTCGGGGTGATAGAAGTCATCTGGGATGCAAATCCAGTGAGCTTGAGGTTTGAAGTGAGAGGTGTAAGTGGAGAGGCGGTTAACAGTGTGAGTACCTCATTGTCAGAGCTTCGAGCCAGAAATCCCCACATGAAAGCAGGAGACCGCAAACACTGCTCTCTTGAAGTTGATTTACCATGGGTTGTCAGACGTCGCTTGGCTATCCTATTCTCTTCTTTTGTAGCTGGTATGTCTTCACAACCTACTGGATAGTTGATACCACAAAGGTGATTTGTTTATGATACTAGTGTTTTCTAAAAACATTGAATTTTGCTTTTGAACACGTTAATTAAAGCATAGCAAAATTCAAAAAGTGGATATGGAAATCTCTACTAAAGTGATTATGTTGGTTTGTAGTGGTGATTGTTGTGCAGCTAGGAGTTTTGTATGTGGTGATATCACTGATGGTTAAATGTCACCGGAAGTGCAAGCGTGACTGATCTTTTGTAGATGCTTCGCTATTCCAAAGAAGAAAGTTGCTTGGTAACCCATCATCCGATCATGGAATCACCCGCTAGCTAGCTAAAGCTCACATTATTTCGTATGAATTGTATTACAGGTTATTCCCACAGAGGAAGTGTATATGTTCTGAAGGGATAATATGCAGGCTCTTTATCCCCCCCCTCTTCTCTCTCTCTCTTCTTGTATAACAAAGCAAGATGTTAATAATACCAGATTACCAATGCCATTCAGGGTTTAGTTGCTTCATTCTGTAGCTATGTATTCCCCAGAAACTATTGGTTAAAAAGGTTTTATAATGACACTACACACCGCACAACTGAAGGACCAATTATACAGGGCAACCATGAGTCCATCTATGTTGTTTGGGTATGAGTGTTAGCTAAAAGAGGGAAGATTGTGGTGGCTTGGATACATGGGCAAGAGATAGATGATGATGGTGGTGAGAAGGGTCGAGAGGAGGAGGACATGGGAGTCGCAGACATTTCCAAGGACATGACTTGTAATAAGAGATTATGTGTATGGACTTATAAGCTACTGTGAATCAGTAGATATTGTGTGTATGGACTTGTAAGCTACTGTGGATGGGGAAGGGTTAGATAGCCGACAACTAGGTTACAAAATCCCTAGGATTGATAAAAGGGGGACTCTTCAAGAGTGCCATAGGTGCAGGTTAACCAAAGTAGGCCTTTTGGCGTACATGTCTTTCATATGCTAATGCTAGTTTAATATCTTGTATGCTATCCTATCAAATTATGTTCGTTTTTACTATGCTAAATGCTAGTTCAATATCTTGTAGGTTATCCTACGACTACGCTGTCCTTCTTTTAGCCTCTTTGCCTAAAGTCTCCATGCTTTACCAAAAATGTTTCAAGCACTGCATTAACATTAAATCATTCAAAAATTTTTTTTGACAAGCTGTCTAAATTGCTCCAAGACTTGTTCAAAATATTTCTTAGTTCAAACTTTTCACAAGCCGCTGGTATTCATGGAAATGGTTATCTCTATTCCTTTGATAGAGGTAAGATCTTAGACTACTTTTGAGTGAGATGTATTATAGATTGTGACTTGTGTCTGAATGTGAACCATTCAATTGAGAGTATATACGAATACCCAAAATAATCTCCAAGCCAACCGTAACAAGAATGGGAGCAAGTGTTGCATTGATGTCATTTTTGAAAATTAAGTAACGATTAAACGAATAGATCCAAATGCATAAAAAAAAAAGAGCATTTTATATGAAGAACCAAATGATACCACTAAAACTAGGAAGGAAGGAAGGAATACCATAAAAATTCACTCCTCAATATCCTTAAAGAAACACTATACAGCCCACGTATGTACCACATTTTGGCAAGAAAAAGAGAGAGGCCCAAATCAAAGAGGGAGTCTTCCATCATCAATAGCATCTCGATGAATCACATATCGAAATATACAACTTTGTGACAACCAACATATGTACTTGTCAGGTTTACCTTTAACATTTCTTTTGATAGCTCTCTGTTGAGTTTCAGGTAGACAAGCATTCACCATCTTCAGAAGTCCAGGAACAGTCAATTCCATGTCCTTTGCAAAGTAATACAAGATTTTCGGAACATAAATCTTTGATTCTTTGTGGATGTATACAGTTGATCGTATGAACTCTTCTTTAGCAAGTCTCAGATCCTGAAATACGTTCTGTGCCTTGTAGACTCGCACCTATCATGTTCATGTTAAGTAGTAATTCTTCGCCAACTGATGATCATAAAATGAATGTAGAATTTGAAATCTTAATTTGCATACCGCTGGATCAGAGAATGTCCCTAAAGAGAGTGCAAAATGGACAAGAGGCTCAGGGTATTCAATGGCATAAACATGTTGGGTAGGCACTGTTGTCAACTTCCTCCCGGGAGATAGCAGCGATTGCAGCCACTGATGAACACACAAACATTACAAATTCAAACATATTTTCAGTTGATGTAAAAGATGATGATGAGATAAAGATAAAAGGCATACCGAGGCTCTGAAGTGAGATCGGATTCCTAATATAGAGCTCTGTATGATATACGCGTTTATACACTCTCCACCCACATTATAAGTTGCCTGAAAGAAAATAAAATTCTCAAGCTCTATATGGAAAGAAATTAGAAAAAGCACAGGCTTGATTTACCTTCAAAATGGAATTACTCCTCGAGTTATCATGAGTTCCATATGCTAAATGTGCCTGCAAGAAACAAAATGTCATAGAAACTTGTATTTTGAATGTTTGCATGCTGAGGCTAATTCACCTACATGCATCACCAAAGCATTATGAAGGTTGATCCAAAACGCAAGCTTCTGTTCACGCTTCATTTTTCCAGGGTCAATCTTCTCAAGTTTCTTTATCAGCGTTCTACAAAGTCAAAAAAATTCAAGTAAACAGGGGAGCTAACCAATTGAAAGATATCAGGTAGTAATAATTTCAGATACCTGAAATGTTTTAGCATCTTCTCCGCATAATTGAAACCATCATCATCTAGGCCTATTTTCAGGACTTCTACCATATCGGCATATGGTCCCCTTTCATCTTTCAAGCCATCATACTTACTGTCCTCGTTGCAAAACGGACTCCATGTATCAGAAAGATTTCTGGTAGAAACTGTACTGCAGGAAGACAGGGATGAAGCAGAAGATTCTGAAGGTCCCTGATGAGATTGATTTGGGTCCCCAAGCTTGCAGTAGATAGAAGATATACATCTGACTATATCTTCAGAAAGTCTATCAGGTCCACCATCAGTACAAGGAGTTCCAAAGTGATCCCCAAGGCTACGATGGGTACGATTACCACTTGTTCTCTCCTATAGTTACAACTTGATAAGTCAAAACCCACACATTTCTTGTAACATAGGGATTAATATGATGAAAACCAAAACAAATCGACCCACCCTAGTCTAATAATACTTACTTTTCTAGATGATGACATTGGAACGGAAGAACCAAGTTGATCATTTGAACCAGAAATTCCCTTTTGCAGAGGAGAAATTCTGCAATGATACCCGCTTAAGCAAGCATCGGGCTTGACTTTGTCACATGACTGATCAGCAACAGATAGCAAATGTGAATGTGTTTCTATTTGACAGGGTGAAGGCATGGTGTGGGTCTCTGAACTGTGAAGATGATGCTCAAAAGATGTGCGATAGAGTGAAAGCAGATATCGTTCCAAATGAAGTATTTCTATTTCAATGGAAGTTATCTGTTGAAGCAGTTCCACAGGTGACTATATAAGAAAGAAAAGATTGGGCAATTAGAATGCTGTGATATGAAAAGGAGATGTTAAATACATGTGAGAGCTGACCAAAATGTGTGAGCAGAAAGTATAAGAGGGCATAAAGGAAAAAGAACCTTTGCATTTGGTGTGGCATCGGAGGAAATGGAAGAGAATGATGGTGTCATCTGTGAGTCTGATCAAATAAACTATACAGAATGTGCATTTATATTAGTAGTAAATAACGAGAGAGAGAGAGAGAGAGAGAGATATGAATCTTTTTATTATGATTTGGAATGGATATGGATTTTGTTAGAATTGAACATGTGTATGTAAAGTGTTAGAAAAAAAGTGAGAAAGGAGAAGACTAACTGGGGATAAGGAATTGGAAGGGGTGGGTGAGATATGATGCCCAGAACCACTGCAAGTGCAAGCAACAAGAAACCACAATGAGTTTGGATGAAAATTATCAATTGAAAAGAAAAAGCTGAATGAGAATGCAAAGAGTTTGGGATGATGTAAGAATAGAAGAAAGGGTATGAAAGCAAGCTTTATAAGAATGAAAAAGTGAAGTTACCCTTGGAAAGTGGGAGTTGAATCCTTCAGCATCAGGTACGTAGTTATTTGTGTTGTGTTGATAGGTACAGAGAAAGAGAAAGAAAGAGTATAAAGAAGATGACCGACAGTATGTAATTGTGTATTAGAATGGTAAGAGTGATGATTTTATAGAGGAAGAAGAAGACAGAAGAGTAGTGAATAATAGTTAAAAGTTAAAAGAAAGCTCAAAGAATAGATACAGATGTTCCTATTTAGCATCATCATCATTGAGAGATATGATTTTGGAACAGGTAGGGCTAAGGAATGGAACGGTGTGGTGGGTTGTTCATCAACAAATACACTACTTCACTTTCTTTCTTTCTTTCTTTCTTTTTAGCAGTGAAGAACTAGTATAGATATTAGTTGCACTTGCAAGTTGCATTGCAGTAGAGAGAGAGAGATGCAATAATAATAATAATAATGGCGGATTGTAAATGCTGCTGTCTCTTTTAACTTTTAAGTAGCGTAATATATATATATATATATATATATATATATATATATATATTAGGATAAAAAAAACACGTAATTATGAATAACAAAAATTGAAACAAACACATGGATACCGTTACATCTCATGTTTCTTCTCTTTGAATAATTATAACAAATAGAATCTTCCAAAACTACTTTTCAAAAATATCCTTTCTCCTCCTTCATCATTCTTCACTTTAACAAGACTATCACCCTTATTTCATAACCTCACCACCCGATGAAATCACATTGATTTTATATGTGATCACAAAATATGGTCATGTAAGGATGCGGGTGATTTGGCCGCAACGTGTTACGTAAATCACATGTGATTTTACATGTGTGATTTGATTTTTTGTTTATTATTGTTGATATTTGCATCATACTTGGTTAATTACTCTATACATAATACATTATTATTTGGGGTTTGACTTGGTACCCAAATAGTTAAAAATTACATGATATGTGTGAAATTTTGAAGAAGAAGAAAAGAGGGTCCCTTCCCTTAAATGAAATTTGTTTGAAAGAAGAAAGAAACTAATAATGATGAAGATGGAGAGATGATCATGTTATGTTATGTTATGTGCGGTGGGTAGACAAATGAAACTGAACCACTACCTCCATTATTTATATATATATATATATATATATGTATATATATATATATATATATATATACATTATTATAGAGAGAGAGAGAGGGGTTATCTGAACCCACCCACCGACCAATGACCAAACTAAATAAATGCATATAAAATCTTAACAAAATATTTGAGGTTGACACAAAATATCAAAAAGGGTCCCTTCTATGAATTCAATTGTGTGTTAGGACAGGTAGCCATATATAATTGCCTTACTTTATTTTATGCTTCTTATCATTTTATAATATAAATGATTTCCACTAATAATACATCAAATCTAAACCTTAATTAATTAACCACCTCACATTCTTCTTCTAACTTTATATTAATTATATATGGGGTCTTATTTTAACAACTTCACAATTTGTGCCAACTATGAAGCTTCTTTTAAGGCACTAAATTATGTTAAATTAGGAAGTCACTAATTATGGTAATTTTGATTTTAAAGTTTACTAAAAAGACATTATGGGTATTTACAAATATTTTTCTCCTCTTTCCTCTCTCGTTAATCACCAGACACCAGGTAATTAATTAAAAAGGAATAAAATTCTACCAATAACCATTTTTTGAACACAAGATGAGCAACTATGTGAACATATATTCATGACACTATTGTAAATAAATATTGTGGTCACATTGTGAACAATATTGTAAATTTATTATACTAGCCCTATGATATATGTTGTGAACACAATGTACACACCACACCTTGTGGAGGGTGTGCATACAAAACAAATGGTGCATGATGCAATAACAAATGAGTCATGTGGATTGTTTTTTTTTTTAATACATTAGAGGTTGCGACCATGGTGGCGACGAATCGAGAGTAGCCTATAAGCAAGCATCGATCCCAAACTTGATAATTAAAAAATATTCGAGCTTGAGCTCGATCCCTACGTTGAAAAAGTTATTCGAGCTCGAGCATGGTGTAATAATTTTTTCTACAATCTTTGATTGAAGGATTGTGCTTGAAGACCGATGATTAGGATGGAGCTAAACTTGATTTTAATGTTTAGTGTCACTGTCATGAAAATGTAATGTATTTCTATTCTAATTTTAATTTAAAGGATTACTTGAAAAAGATTTATGACTTCAATCACTTCAATAGACATTGCTATGTTAATATGTCAGGCTAAAGTTCTTGAAAGAACAACAAGATTTATATCTACCCATTAATCTACCTCTCTGCTTGTTTAACAGATCATACATAACTAAGGTGGTGTTTGTTTTTTAAGAGGTGCTAAAGTCTGAAGTCTGAATTCACTTCTGAATTTTAAGAGGTGGTGCTGAAGTCTGAAATCTGAATCAGTCAGACTGTTTGTTTTTACGTCTGAAATCTGAATCAATTCATTTCAATTAAATTTAACTGAAATATCCAATCATTTAAACCATTTGTAAACTACCATATACTTTTAACACATGAATATGAATTGATTCACAGTGAATAAGCTTTGAAATGAACCCTAATTATGCAAATCTTTAATTAGGGTTTATAAAGATCAAGAACAGATAAGTTGATTCACATTGCAGTTTTTCACTTTCGACATCAACATCCTTCTCCTCTTCCTCCTCCTCTTTACCTTTACCCTCATCGAACTTCCATCGGAGCAATGGAGTCTCCGGTCGTGAACCCCTCTTTCCCCCTGCTGGAACTCCGTCCCTCCGCAACCGCACCCCACCGCCGGAGTTTCGGGATTTCCGACTTACTTGCTTCCTCAAAATGGGTTTTTGCAAAAGATCCGAATCTGGGGTAAAGTTTAGAACCTTCGAAGATATAATAGCCGGTAGATCCGTTTTCCCGGTGATCTTCATCTTCTCCGACTAGATTCAGTCATCAGTTTAGCTGTTAAACCCATTACTACTTGAGAAGAAGTTGAAAACGAACCGGCGACCATGAAAATGGAGCTCAGAAACACAGAGAAAGCAAGATTAAAATTCAGATGATTTCAGACTTCCATTTTTCACTTAAAATTAAGATGATTTTAAGAGGTTTTAAGCTCTTAATTTGAAAAAAAGAAACAAACAGTCTGAAATGGTAAATGTCTGACCGAATCAGACTTCAGATGTAATTAAGAGGTTTTTTTTGAAAAACAAACAGCCCCTAACTTTAGTTGTTCTAGACTTCATTTGTGCAAATTTCTCAACTCCACCTAATTAACTCTTAGTTTTTCCTTTAAATATATATATAGATGATTGCAAGCACAATTTATTTTTTATTTTTTATATCATAAGATTTGTTTTGTAAAAATAGGGTCATCCATCCTGATTCGAGCCTCATGAGTTGACATAATATAAAATTTGTTTACAAAAATCAAGTCATCCAAATAAGATAACCTCATAAATTGACACAATAAATCTCCTTAAACCTTATTATTCACATCTTTTTATTCCAATATTTCGATGTATGGATATTTCAGAATCAACCAAAATTCAACAACACCTCTATACCTGATTCTGATGATGTCAAATAATCTCCCACAGTCACACACATGGCGTAAAATAGATATTAGGGAGCGAATCTAGAAAACATTTATAGATCCGCCTGTCTTCGTCTTCAATTTAGCTCATTTCGGCAAACACATTTCAGCAGCTGAACGAAGGACTCATAGTGGCGGAGCTATGGAGCTAATGGTGGTCACCTTGATTATTGGTTTTTTATTCAGTTTATTGTTCATTGCCCCTCGATTTAGCAAATCCGGTAAATCTCTTCATTTCTTATTACGTTTTCTTTCTCGTGTAATTTTCGTTATCATATCCTCGCTGTGGGTTGATGCTTGATTTTAGCAGTGTTTGTATGTATGGAGTGTCTCGACCTGTTTAATCTATGGTGGTATTTGTTAAATGTAGATCAAACCGAGAAGGTTCATTCAGATGCTAACACGAAGGTACTTCTATTCAAAAAATTAATTAAATTTCTATGTTCAATCCTTTATTTGTATTAGGTCAGTTCGATAAGATATTTTGGGCATATATTATTTAAGTTAGCATGTGTGAGGTATGTATTGTACGGTGGCTGTAGAGATGGATTAGCAAAGGTTGGGAATCTACTGCCATTTCTTGCTTTACTAAAACACATTTTCGTTTGAGAAATATTTATGTTAATTCCACCATTCATTTTATTTATTTCTACCTATGTCTCTAAAATCAGGGTCTATTTTTGGGTTCTGGTTGTTTTTAAGTTGCTTTTTAGCTTCAAAATCTTAAGATTGGTTTTGTTATAAAGCAGAATTTGAGAATTCCATAGACCATGATAGAAGGTGTAGGAATAAAAAGCGTTTGGAGCTAGGAGACAAACTGTATTGATGCTATTTTGAAAAGCACTAGAGTTGAATTACCAAAGTAAAGAGCTTCTCCCAACTATGGGGCAGAATGGGTACTTTTTTCGCGTCATTTTGTTATCTTTTCTCTTTAGGGGTTCAAAAGATGTCTAGTTCAGAACGCATCTCAAGGTTTTGATGGTTGTTCATGATTTAACATGCAGTAGATGAGCATAGAAACGTTAAGATGTGTTCTGATTTTCTATTTGGATGTTAGCTATGTCCTTAGAGAATAGATGGGTGTACTTATTACCAACTTTATATTAGCATAGAAGTGAAGCAGCTTTGTAATTTACAATTAGATATTAACTTTGAAAACGATGAGATGATTTCTCCCTCCTTCTCTCAGGCTCTAGTCTTGGCTTGTTAGAAAAAGGAGTGAAAGTTTTACATACAAATTAGAAGGGATTTTAGCATAACATAATACGCATGAATCCATGCTCTTGATTATTGGAGAAACATACATACACATTACCCCTCAAGTTCAGTAGTTGATTGTTTATGGTGTCTCAATCAAAACGAAATCTCCCTTACAAAGAAAAAAAATATTAAAGGGGAAGATTTTCTCGGAAATATGTTTGGTATCTTGCCTCAGAAGTGCCCCCTTTTTGAACTTTAACTGAAAATGCATATGCTGTCTGGATTATATATACTCTGTTACCGTCCATAGAGTGCTAATGGATATTCTAATGTTCTATATCTTTACATGTAGACTGTAAGAGCATACAACAAGGCTGAAGTTTTGTTGCACAACAAGAGGACAGATTGCTGGATCATCATCAAGGAGAAGGTTCTGTAGGTTATTTAGACTGATACTTTGCCCCATCACTATGAACGTGTATAAACATGAAACTAGTAGAAATCATGAAAGGTTTATCTGCTTCGCATAAAAAGGGAAAAAATGCATATTTCCCCTTGTTTTTGACTCTTTATAAACTCTAGGTATATGATGTTACGTCTTATGTAGAAGAACACCCTGGTGGCGATGCAATTCTGGTGCATGCTGGCGATGACTCAACCGAAGGATTTTTTGGGTAAACCTCTAATTCTAATGTGCCTTTAGTTTCAATCATGCATTTGAAGAACAACTATCTGAAGTGATCTGCTTGTCTGATTTTGAAAGGCTTACTTTTTCATGCTATTTGCTTCGATATTAAAGAGAATCAGTTGTTTCTAATCATTTTGAGAATGCTTTCTATAACCAATGAGAAAAAATCCACCTATGGTAATCAACCATTGCCTTCCTTTGGCCTGACCATCTGGATTATGGTATTGTCCTTGAGGTGAGCTTATTTGCAGTTGTAGGAAGATACCTAAGCCACATATTGCCCCCATCCAAATTCAGTAGTTAAACGTGCTTGGGGTAGAGGAAACATCTGCGGGATTTACTGGGTTTGGTTTAGTACAGTTTTAAGAACCTCTTATGTGGGCTTCGGTATGACGTCTGCATATTCGATTAGCATGTAATGTTCTTAATGCTTCCCTATGAAACATATATAAAAGATCTGACTCTCCTTCTATAATCATACCGATGAACATTCATCATATTGATATGGAAATCAAAGGATTACAATCGATTCTCTGGCTTTCGAGAAGCCAGGTCTCTCCCAAAGGTTTTCGCCTAACTGATTACAGAACAGAATACCCTTCCCTCTCTAACCCCCTTCCTTGTTTATACTACTCCCTTCTATTGACTTATTGACCCCAGTGTATAACACATACTCAGCTTGCAACCTTTTTTCATGGTTCATTGTTAAGTATGGACGAGTTAGACGTGTGTTTTATTTGTGGCAGGCCACAGCATGCAACCCGAGTATTTGACATGATCGAGGACTTCTACATCGGAGATTTAGAGAAGTGAAGGTATTAAGTAGTTGTTATGCAGAATGTGCAATGTTTTCATGGTTATTGATTGCAATGTTGTAGCTGGATGACATATTTTTCCTTCATTTGAACACCATCAGATTCCATCTTTGGCTGAGGAAGCTACCAAAATGAATGAATAATATGCAACTTCTTGTGGAGAAATGTTGATTTGTACTAACAATGATTGATCAAGAAGATATCCACAATTGAGTATCATAAAGGCTAAGGGGATGTTTAATTGGTTTTTCATTAAATCTTGTATGGATAAAGTTGTCCGTGTGTATTAATCTATCTAAATAGATCGGGAAAGATTTTTTTAATAGATGGAAGGATCAAGTTTTTAATTGAGAGAAGCAAGTTTGGAAAAAAAATTTGGTCTTTTTGCATAAAGCTCTCTTTAAAAGCTTCTCAAATAAATCACTTTCTATATTATTAAGCTACTACTAAACAACAGTTAAATATAGCTACATTTATATCACAAATGGTCTCTTGTCAGTAAAAAATAACTGATGCACTAGACTCAAAATGCAAGCTTCAAAGTTTTTTTTTTAAACAACAAATTTTATTAAAAGACCACCGAAGGCTAACAAGAGATGCAAACTTCAAAGTTAGACCTAGTAGTTTAGCTTATCGATCTGAACTTGTATACAATAATTAGAGACGACTTGGAACTTTGCCATTAATCTCGACAGATTTCACAGATGCCCTTGTGCAACTTCAGAAGCAATGTAGAGTAAAGGGCCTTTTACCAAAAGCTTACTCGTTTAAGCGTTTACCGTAAAATTCAACACTATTATTTACTTACATGGTAAGATTTTAGTTCAATAAAATATGATCCTATGCAACAATTTGTGCGATAAGCGCTAACCGTGATAAGAGTCTTTTTCTCACTTACTGGATAAGATTCTTGGTCCTTGTTATATTATCTGGTAAGTTAATAAGACTTGATAAGCGCCCAGATAAACGTTTGGTAAACGGCCTTAGCTAAAGATGACCAAAAATCGGTCCGTTCAGGGCAAGGCAGGCCCAAATCAGTCCGGCCCCAAACAATATTCCTGTAACCGGTCCCGACTAAAAACCAAGGCTTGGTTAATATTTAGCATAACCGGTCATGAGAACCGGTCCCAAACACTATTCTCGTATTCGATTTGTTACATATATTTTTTTTTAAATATACAAAAATATTATTCCAATACATTTTTAAAATATGTAATTAGGTCCATAAAATACATTTAAAATGCGTTTTATTATAATTTGTTAAAAACAGAAATCGAATACAAGCCGAAATAGTGGGAATTGTGAACGTGTTTTGCGTTTGTGAGTTGGTATCTTCCCTCGTACACTAAATGATTTGTATATTGTGTATAAAGGATCAATGGGACAAAAAAAGGCCATACCATTCCAACGATTATAAAAACCGTAATATTTTTTGAAAAAATTGGACCGGTCCCAGACTTGTCTGGGCCTTAGCTAACAAATCGTACAGGACTTCCAATTGGGCCATAATTCACTAACCTTTGCTTAAATGTATAATTACAATATGTATTATGCTAATTGGAATATTATGTTTGGGTTTAATATATAAAGACCATCGAATTTTGACAAAATCGAAAAAAGTCACAAACAAAATCATTAACTTTTAGCTATGTACCAAATATTATGAAAATGGTGGCCAAGAAATATAAATATATAAACTTTTGTGTAAAAATTGGAAATTACTTCTTCAATTCTCCAAGAAAAAGTAGAAGAGATTGTAAATATTTTTAAATTTGGATATCTCTCTAAAAATGATCACCATAAGATGAGAGAGAAATGGTTTTTATTATATTCCACCAATAAGTAACCTTGAAATAAAATGTTTTATAATATGTTAATTAAATGTATAATAATATAATCAATGATGTAATTTACAAAATAGATAAATCTGTTGGAGTTAAATGCAAATTTTCTAAAGATTTTGAACTTTGGATCTTCATTTTAGGGTCCGTTTGGTTTGCATTATTATTTTTGAGGGATTTGAATATTATGCAGGGATTTGGATTGGAATGGATTTGAGATCATTAATGTGTTTGGTTTGTAGTATTTGAAACGGAATTGGATTTCATTATTTATAAGTGATTCATAAAAAAAACTGTAGAAATTTATAACAATAATTAAATTACATTTTTATTAATTGATTATTACAAAAGAAATATTTTTAACATTTTTTAAAACATTATTGTATATAATCCTATGAAATCGTGTGAAAGCTCGAGCTCCTTCTAAGGATTTCAAGATCCTTGTTTGTAGGATTTAAATTAAATGATGGGGGAGGGGGGTTGAGATTAAAAATGAATAATAGTCTATATCCCTTCTTACCTTAACTTTTATTCTCACACGATTCTTCAATTTGTATTCCATTATATTTTGTCTCGAATATTATTGTTAAAAGAATCATATTAGTACATTAAAACTAACAAAATAAAAATAAAATAATTATACCAAATACTTATTACACATCAATTTCGATATTCAACTAGCACTTTGCTTAAAATTTAAGATTAGGCTTTAATTGTTTGAATTACGTTATGGTTGATTTGTGTGGGAGCTTTTTCGATCATATTTCTTTGATCATGGAAACGGAGAAAAAATAACTTCATCCACCATAAGTTTTGAATAAAATGCATATTATTGTAATGAAAATTTATATTAATAGTCCATTCAAATATATATATGCATGGATTGCTCATACAACCAGTTCCTTTTTCTTGGTAACCGCGGGTGTGTAGTATCATGGATCCCTCGACTACGGTAAAATAAATCTTCAATGTCTTTGAAGGGACTCAAACTGGTGACTTATAAAGAATAGCACCAAAGATTCAAATCTTATTGACAATCAAGCTAATATCCCTCAAATATATATAATCTAAATACTAACATGTAGGGACTGATTGTAGCATACACATTTCGATTACATGTATGTTAATTATGATCTAAATACCAACCTTACTATGAACTATGCATCAACTTTGTGATTGATTGGTTTATCGATGAACTATTAACCAACTTATAACCAAGAAACTATTAAGCCAAGGAAAGGAGTGAACTAAAACATGATTAAACATCTAATCATAACTTAATTGGATTCAATCGACATATTAAGATTTGGTCTATACGTACCTAAAATCAAATGCAACTCCTAACTGAACATTAAAACAATAAGAAGATGTAGCATTTCTTTTTCTTGCCACAATCATAAATAAGGAATCAGATGGGTTGAGTTGGAGAGTTTAGGACTATCTGAACAACCTATTTTGAAAAATTATAAATCACCCAAGAAATCAAAGGATTCAAGTTTGTTTTTGAAGAGGGATCGAGTCCATCTAGGCCTTGGATTTAAGGTATGCATGATTCGTATCATTAAGCTTAAAAATGGTTTATATTTTGGGTTATTAAGCCATTTCTAGTTCTTGAGTATACCGTGGCCTCATTTTGGTTTCTAGTTTGTTGTCAAGACGTAGTGTAACCCATTTTAGGGTTCGTTAAGTTGAAATGGGTATAAAAAGAGGTGAAAATACATGATGTAATTAGTTCTATGAAAACATTAAGATGATGTAGGATGTATGCAAGTTAATTGAAAAGTTTAGTCCAAACATCGTTGTGTATAAAACAGTTGACTCTTTCTCGATAGTCAAATTGTTTTTGTTATAAAGTCAAAAATGCTTGTTTTATACAAAGTTTTAAGTTTGAAATGAAAACGACATACATATATATAAAAAAAGGAAGTCGTTAAAGATTAAACCCACATTTTGATGGATTTTGAAGGTTAGAGTGTGTTGTTGTCCGGAGTGAACTAAAATAATGAAGTTTTATGTGTTGTTAGAAATAAATGAGGGTATCAAGTATTTAAATATGTTTAAAGAAGAAGTTGAACATACATTGATTTTAATAATAGTTGATATTTGAGAAGATGAGTGTTTGTTGGATTAATGAAGAAACATATATTATATCATGATGTTTTGATGGGTAAAAATCCAACAATGATTGTTTTATGTTTAGCTTGGGAATTCAATGTTGGAACTACATAAAGATGAGTTTGAAAGTATAGCTTCAATTATGAGAAATTGACGTTTTATAGTAGTTATACCTTGTTTGTCTAGGTAGCAAGATGATCGGTTGAAAACTAGATTAAACTTAATCTAGCAAAAATGAGTTCAAGTAGTCTTAAAACTGGGTACACGTCAAATATATGCATTTAACATGACTCCTTCATTTCGCTTATATTTGAATATGTGGTTGAAAAATAGCATTCGATAGATTATATATATATATATATATCAATACGTTTGTTGTATGATTGTAAAAAGTAGTTAATGTAAGCGGTGTTAATGCAGGCTTTTGGTTTGGGAAGTTATTTAGATATTGTTTCATATTTCAACTGTTGAGGTCCCTTTAGGGCTTGAAACTATAATAGAAGCCTGTTAGAAAAGTCTTGTATATATATATATATATATATATATGTTGGGTTAAGATTAAATGAATTGGGTGTGGATGTGTCTAGAACATATTATGTATAGATATATGTGATGCATGTGAAGGGAAATATATATGTATAATATAATGGCAGTATATACGAGGCATGTGTGAATGGATAGGGAGGACCAGAGTATGCATATGCATATGTTGAAGAAAGATTCATGATATATGTTGTTGGTAAATAAATTACCTCATTGCTTCTGACTTTGCTTTCTTCAATGTCAACGTCAATGTCAATGAATTGAATATATATATATATACAATGAATGATATGTAACTAAATGTGTCAGTTGATCATTAAGTAACCAAAATAAGCTTTTATAAATAAAAAACTTAATTAATTAATTATTTAATACACAATCATGTACCACCTAATTAATTAAAAGGAAATGAATGCATATAACATATAGTAATTAGTGATGATATTTTTGGAGTGTAGGGTAAAGGAGTTGGATTGGGTTAATTAGTCATATTTTGTTGAATGAGTTTGTAGATGAATACCAAAATCAAAATCAAAATCAAAATCAAACTGGAAAGCGCGTGTGTGTGAGAGAGATAAAAATGGCTCCTATTTTTGATTCTAATTGCTTACATTCACACCACATGCATCCAAAAGTTGGACCACCGCACCATCTATTTGTTTATTTTTGTCCTCATTGGCTATTTCTACCAAAATATATCAAATCAAACTCATAAAATTAACCTTCCTTAACTCTAAATTATTAATATTTTCAACCCACTAAAATAATTAATACATTATTAGTAAATAATAAGCACTTCAAATATATCAACTCATT